GTCACTTGCCCCTCCCTTCCTTCCCTCCCCATCTCCAGCTGCCTCCCTCTTCCCGCTCCTCCACAACCACCCACACATGCAGGGCCTTGGAGTGGGGGTATGTCACCAGGGTGCAGAGGAGGCTACCCCCCCCCCCCCCCCCCCCCCCCCCGTCCCCTTCTGGCTGCCTCTGCCTCAATTTTATCCCACAACTTAGACATTCACATTATTCACACTCTCATTACACATACATATAGGATCTTGGGGGTGGGCACAATCACGGAGTCCAAATCACCATCAGGGTGTATACCTCACCCCTGACGTCGTTGCCCACCTCTCAATTTTAAATACACTTAGTCATTGAGGGTTAGCAGGAGGGACTATGCGCTTACCTGCTGCTCCTTGGCAGGTAGCTCCATGCCCTCCTGGGTTTTAATTGCACCTTAGAACACATATGCATCAACACTACAATGAGCGGGTGGAGGGAGGTTTGGAGTCTTCTCCCACCCCCATTCTCTGCGGCCTGCTGGAGCGGGAGGGCTAGTAGGAGGAGTTGGCCGTCCGACTGCGGTCTGGGGTGTGGGGCCTCCCTGCTGCTGCGGAGTCGGGGTGGTCTGCCTCTCCCCACCGCAGGGAAAAGGGTAACACCACCTGGGTCTGGGTGCAATTCCCCCCTCCAGGGGCAAGGGTACCTAGACCCGGTTTGTAGAGTACGCTTGGGGAGTGTGATTGTGTGTACAGCGTCTCTTTATGTCTGTCTCCACGTTGGTTGAGTGTGGAGTGAGTGCATATGAGAGCATGAGGGTGGGAATGGATGTTTGTGTCTGTGTGTGCCTGTATGTCTGTGTCTATATGTCAGGTTGGGTATCAGACGCCACCTCTCTGGGGACACCTCAGGCCCTCCAAGGTTTGGAGGCCTATCTCCACCCACCACCACTTCCCCTGCCGGTGGCGGACTCCCTCAGGTGTCGGTGTGTTGGTGGTTCTTTGTGTCTGGGGTGGGCGTCCGGGTACACGCCGGCTCACTCCTTGGCGGCCGCTTGTCGGGGCCTGGGGCCTGGGGCTCGCTCGGGCCCCTTTGGAGGTGGGGTGCCCCCGGCCTCTCGGCCTAGGGCTCGGTCACTCAGGCGCAGCTGGGGGCCGGCGGAGCTCACAGGCGCGTCACTGCAACTCCCCCTGACTTCTGCTCCGCGGCTGCTGGGCGAGCCCTCATCTGGGACTCTCCTCAGCTCTTACTGGGACAGTGGCGCGGCTGCCCCTCTGTTGGTCTTCCATGGTCTCTTGTGTTCTGGGGGCCTCTGGATGTCTGGAGTTTTGATCTCCTCCATACCCGCTTCACACCCTGGAGGACGGGGCTGTGGCCCCCCCACACTCCCTAGCAGATCATTACATGGAGAAACCTTTGGAATGCAAGCATGCTGATCCACACAGGTATGCACACATGGGTATTCACAGACGCGGACTAAAGCTTTCTTGGCTGCTGCCTCAAAGCACACTGTGCGCTGTCTATCTTGCGTGCTGCACAATATCGTTTATTACTTAGTAAATACTGATATCTATGACTAGCTAGTTTATTGTGATGGTGCTTTGTTTTCTCTATTATTATGTTGCTCTTTGTTGTTTGCTGTCTCCTCTGTTTGTTTTTGTTTGTTTGTTTGTTTGTTTTTTTTTCTCCATACAGGTGACCCAGGAGTTTTTTTTGTTTTTTGTTTTTTTTGTCTCTCTTCCCCCCCCTTCTCACCGTCTCTTCTCCCCTTTGGTTTTCTTTCTTTCTCTCCCCCTCTCTCTCTCATTCATTCCCCTGTCCTATTTATTAAAAAAAAAAAAAAAAAAAAAAAAATGACAAAGGATGAACTGAAGCTCTGCCATCACGTAATGTCGCATACTGCTGTTTCTGATGTCATTTAGGAAAAAAAAAAAAAAAAAAAAAAAGGAAATATAACTCCCTTTGGGGAAGTGTCAGAAAGGGAGTCTGGTGTGAAACATCTGCCTTATCAGTCAATGGTTGCTTGCTGCCCATCTAATGTATAAATACAAATTGTTTGTAATATGTTGGCAATCTGATGTAGTCTTAGCACAACACATCAGCGATGCGTCTCTTTGCAATAGAGACGTGACTCTTGACTCAACTTAACTCATCTGGTTGTATTCCTGAATAAAAGTAATATTGCCAAAAGCCTATGTCGCTTTGCAGTTGGATTTCCAACCTGAAGCAACTATGTCACAATTTGTGGAGGAATTTTTTTAATTTCTTTTTCAAATCTCTAAATTTTTCCTTCTGGACTTCTAGGCGTGAACTTCTGTTTGCGTATGTACATGACAACAGACAAGTTATTTGTCACAGTTAATTGCAGTGTTATCACAAATTGCATGTAATCGCCAACTTGACCCCATTCACTCACAGACTGATAACAGACCGATTCCATTTCATTGCATTTCAATTTGATGCATCAAAGTCACTTTGAAGACAGGAGGTGATAGCCTCTAGTTAACCATTAGTTTACTTACTACTATTAAAAGCTTCGTTTAGCACTCATATACCTGTATACTATATTAAACTGTCTGCTGACCCTGTCTCTTTCATTAACTCTTTAAAATCCAACAATTCTGTTTAAATCTTAAAAGCTTCAGTAAGCTTCAGGTATCAACTGACAACTTAAGACTTACTGACTGTGCCATTTGCCCTCCAGCTTTGTGGACATGAAGCACTTCCTGTATAAAGGCTAATTTACACCATTGAGCTATGATCTCAAACACTAACATAGATGGGGCTCTGTCTGTGTAGCTGGATTCAAGAATTACGTGCTTAAAGTTACATTTTAAAAACATGTCTTGTGCCAGTACAGATTGTGGCATCATCAGGTTGATTGGCTGGTTGCGGTCAATAGACTTACATTAGTTTATGTTAGTGGACTAATGACATAACCAATAACTCAGGGAGAACAAGGTGACTTAAACTAAAAATAAGTTTAAGGGGGGCCTTTTATTATTCTGGCTGTAACAATGAGGTTTATGTTAAAACCGAGGATATACTGTCCACTTTTTTAGGGGGCAGACTTTGTCGTACGTTACAAAAAGAAATGTGTTTCAGAAATTTTGTTCTGTTGACATTTAAATGAGAAAAAATTTCAAATTTCTTTGGCAAAACTGTTGTGTTGCTTTTGATGTTAGGGGAGAAACCCAACCTCCTAGAGCTAACGTGGACAAACATACAAGTTCAACACATACAGGAAGAGCCATCTAGCTAGTGCCAAGAACTGTTTGCCTGCATGCAGCCAAAGCAAAGGCAGTCGTGACTGGTCAACATTTCTTTGACCACAAATGGAAACCAGAAAGCTTCCAGTAACAAAATCAGATCCCCTTTCCTAAAGACTTTGCATGTCCATGTGCTGATGTGAGTTTATAGAGTTTGAAAACCAAAATCAGCATTTTTAAATCAACTGTTTTGTTAACCTGTGTAGATATAATGCTACCTTACATATTTTTTCCCACAAAGCGGAGACTGCTTTTCACTGAGCCTATTCTAGAAATGTTTCTGCGCTTAATATTGCATAACAACTGGCGCTGGTGCAAATAACCTGGCAACTGCACACCACAAAAGTGCTGGGCCCACTGTCATCTGTGGTTTTGGGAGGTGCTATCCCATGAAATTCACCAAAGATTCATGGATACTGTCTGCAGATTCAGTCCATCGTGTTTTCTTCCCATATCTGTGGTCCTAATTTTATCTACGTAACATTAAACAGTGTTTGGTTCTTGAACCTGTGGAAATAAACCTGTATGCAGAAGAGATAAAGATCTATCAACAGCATCTTTGTAAATCTGAAATAATCGATGCTCAAAATGAGATACCGACACGACTGCATGAAGCAAATTAAGTAAATGCCACTTTTCAACTTTTACAACTTTCAGTTGAACGCAATCCCTTTAGGATCACCACTTTTTCACATGTATCACCACAAATTATTACTTTCCTGCACCAAAAACTAAATGGAAGAGTGGAACAGCATGGTTTATGGTGCCCACTGGATCCACAGCAATCCAGGCTTAAACACTGTGATCCCCATTTCTGTCCATTTCATCACAGAATATGTAGACGTTAATCAAACAGGCTCAATTCACACGATGTTAAAAGATTACAATCTCTATAAGCCTATGGGGGTTTTAATCACAGATTAAATACTTTATAAAACTTTGTTTTATGGTGCCATGTTTAGAGTTTGGATCTATAAAATTAAGGTGTCTGAAACAGACAAAAAACACTTGCCTTAATCTATTTGTTTACTGGCCATTATACAAGCTGTGTAAACAGCCTCTTAGGTACCTCAATAAAAGCATGTCTGTGTTCACCCAGCTAGTATGCTAATGTCTGAAGGGGCCTTGTTTGGAGCTACCACTGTACCTTCCTGTCTTCATTGCTAACTTGGTTTTGTTTCTTTTGTAACATATCCGTTCCCTTTCTTGCACAACTATGTCATTACTTTTCAAGTTCAAGAAATCTGATCGTTGATTTAACATCCAGTCTTTAACTTGCCAAACTCTCTTTTTTCTGTAACGGACAAAATGATTCAACCTCTCAGAATCTCTTGGAAATATCTTTGTTGAAACAATCTCATTCCAACTGCACTAAAAATATCATCGACTTCAAGAGTTGTCTTGCGGTCTTGGGCTCACAAGTTGGGTTTGAATATCAGGTCCAAAGTTTCCAATCAGATTGACAGCATTCTGCGGGGCGATTGTTCAGATCTTAGCATGAGGTCGAAATTCAATGATATGACTACAGCTTGCTTATTTAGCCTAATTCAACCACAATCTCCATCAAGAAAGTCTTGGCTCTGTTTTTCTTCAACCTCTGTTCTGCGGTAAAAATAGCCTTTAACACAGGCGAAGAGTTCAGAGTCAGGAAAACAACCTTGTTTAGAACATTTAATGAGAATTGAAGCTCACTGACAAACTTATGCTCGCAAATCAACACAGACCACAAATGCACATCCTTATTGCTTTGTGCTAAAGTCACTTACTTTTTTGATGCACTCAAGTCCAGAAGAAGAGCGACCACTGAGGCTTATATGAGGCGTTCCGATCTTGGTTTTCCCCCCAGATGTTTTTCCTCATATTTTACTATTTAACTAGCTCAAAAAAAAAAAAAAGACATTGCAGCAGAAATGCTCCTCACAAAGGTTGTGTTGGTGTCTGTGCTCTAGACTCTCATTGTACATTAAACCCCTTCCTGGAATGTCTTACCTGATGGCACGTGGAGGACAAAGTCCCATCTGAGTGTTTTGCAATCTGTAAGCTGGAGCAAGTTTGCGAGAGGTACTCGGGGCTGAAAACCTTCCCAAAATTTGAAAATAAACTTCAGAAAATATTTGTTTTACTACAGTGATTTAGTAGAAGTATTTGTCTCCAAGGGTTCACTTGGTTCTGAGAGAGCAATATGAGAAATTGTTCGTGCTAAGTGGAATGTGTAAGAGGATGCTACTCATCCACTCGGCCTTGTTAAAACAGTTGCATAATCACCAACTGAGGTAAATATGCTCATCTCACAGTGCTTCTGAAGCTACTGTTGAAGCTTTACTTGGGTGATTAAAGGAAGCTTCTCAGTCAATTGCCAGTAGTACATCAATGATACTGGTGTAGAGACTATTTTAACTGGTTTTGAATCAGCCCAATAGCATTCCTCTTATGATTTATGAGGTGGCACTCTCTGTGTTGTTGTTTTTTTCAAGTCAACTAATTTACTATGAAAAAGATAAGAAGTGCAACTGGTTGTCTGCTAGTCAGAAGTTTAGAGGTTCAATCCAGGTTTACACCAGTTTGCATGTTCATGTGGGCAAACTACAGAACCCCTTGTTTCCAATGTATTTGTCAGAGTGTGAGTACGTATGTGCAAATGTTAGACAAGGTATAGAAGAGCACGCTTGCATGGATGTGATTGTATTGAAAAGTGCTATACAAGTACCAGTCCATCTAGTTTCATGCTACTACATCATCCCTAATACTGTGCAGATGACATTATGAACTTTTTCTCTTATGCTGTCACTGTCCGTAGACATCGATCGTCGGTCCTTTAGTTAAAACTGTTCAGACTGCTTCCATCAGGAAGGAGGTTCTGCAGCATCCGGTCCCGTACCAGCAGACTGAGAGACAGCTTTTTCCATCAGGCCATCAGACTGCTGAACACGTCATAGACACCTCAGCTTCACTACTAGAACTTCAACATTATGCACTCCACACTGTATATAAATGCCACTTGTTTTGCACATATTCAACTCTGTATATTTTATATATTTTATTATTATTATTATTATTATTATTATTATTTTATTTTATTTTTTACTATTTAATTTGTAAAAATGTGTACACACACACACACACACACACACACACATAGGAAAATATTTAGTATACACATCCAGAAATGCATACACTATTATATATTGTACATATATTTATTAGTTTCAGGTTGGCCATTCTTGTATTTTGCTCGTTTGTGTTGTTGTGTTTGCACATCTCTGTTGCTTGTGGGGCTCGCACACAAGAATTTCACTCGCATGTGCTGTGCCAGTGTGCCTGCACATGTGATGTGACAATAAAAAGTGATTTGATTTGATTTGATTTTGATTTAAAACACAGCAGTCGCACATCCTAAACTCAAGTCTACATAGCATGAGAAAGACAAATTAAAGGTCAGGCCTTCAATTCTGCACAGCTTTGGAAAATTCTCTGGAGTTTATTTGTAGATTGAAACAGTGGAAGAGACTTGTAAGTGTTTCCAGCCATTTGGGTTTTTCCATGGTTTCCACTGGCTTTTTGGTCTAGTCAGCATCTTCGGGATGTATACCTTTTTTTGGTTGTCAACCGAAGATACGTTCTGTGCTCGGTTCTCTCTCGCAGGCCTTTCATTATCAGATTCTGAAACTGCAAATAAAGTCTGCTATTACTGATCGTTCCTTCTCTCAGATGGCCGCAGTGATGACAAATTGAAAGAACGAGGGTAGGAAACAGATAATGGTTATTTGTTTTGGATAATGCAACAAGCAGGGGCAACTTCAAAGACAGGATTAAGGATTGCACAGTGAAGCATTGAAGCACAGTAAGATGAGAGGTGCTGTGGGACTCTCAGCATTAGGCAGCTGGATAACAAGCAAAAGAAACCCTGTGAACCCAGACACTCGAGAGCCTCGGTCAACATAAAACAGAAATAAAGGAAATATATTTTCCTCTTCTGGAAGCGCTGAAGTGGGTGTTGAGTCATTTGAGTGAAAAAAGGATGAGGAAACGTTGAAAAGCTGCATCTGTGTGAATGCACAACTCACAGGGGAACAGCAATAAAGGCTTTGCTGAAAGGTCTGGAGATTTATAGGCTCTGGATAACTGATCTGCATCGAGATGCTCAGCTGTAGGAAAGAAAAAAGACAGCGCGTAGCAGCCAGTGGATGAAAAACGGAGAAACCGCTGCAGCGCTGCACTGAGTCCCTTGCCAGTGTGCGGTAGTGTGGTAAGATCCATCTGGGGCCTGACCCTGGGGCAAGTGGTGAACAGAGAGGGTCACAAGACAGCTGCCTGCCAAACCAGCCCAGTACAGTACACCACAGTATAGACAAACTGTTTCCCCTTTCTGTCACTCTTGAACTCTGATTCTTGGACTTTCTCTTTCCGCCTTGAGGCTCCGCTCTGCTGCACCAAAAAGTGACGCCATGTGTCATTTGCAGCCACAGTGCATTAACCTACATCCGGGACATGAACAGTTTTATACTGACGAGTAGATAGTTGAACACCTTGTAAGTTTTTGTCCGAAATCAAGCTGTAACTAATCAACCTAATAATCTGATAAATCCGTGCATCCATCTATCTGTTCTTCGGCTCTCCCAATTACACCTTCATCTCACCCTAAAAAGGGCGATGCCATGTTTAAGGTAGTTTGGATAAGAGGTTCTCATAGTTTGGTAAAAGTTTTTCTCTGTTACTGCCTGCTCCACTCTGTGTGTAGGGGGCGGGGCATACATCTGAAACAGGCCTTTGAAAGATATGAAAAAGCATAAAGAGCTTTTCCAACCTTCCCATTCCAATCTGTAAATCTCCCAAAGACAACTGGCCACATTTGGTTGATTTACTGTCTTTGGCTTCTGGTTGTCATTGACACCACGCACTCACTCATCTTGTCTGTATGAGCAGTTTTTAGGAGAAGGCTCAGAGCCACGGTCAGTCACCCAACGTTCAGTGAATGTAGCGTTTCATGATAACCTGCATATGACAATCAGTGTTGGGAAGGTTACTATTAAAATGTATTCCACTACAGATTACAGAATACATGTCCCAAAATGTATTCTGTAACGTATTCCGTTACATTACAGAATAGAATAGAATCCATTTATTTCAACAAAGTAACTGTATTCTGAATATCACCCTTTTAAACGGTAACTGTAACGGAATACAGTTACACATATTTTGTATTTTAAATACATAACACTGGTATTCCATTACTCCCCAACACTGATGACAATATTAAGAGAACTTCGACTCTCCACAGTCAGCAAATATGAGAATTACAATTCCAAATAAATCAGTTTTTAAAAATCTCAATTTTTCTCTGTCTGAAAAAAAAATGAAACACTGATCTGTGTGAGAAGAGAATTTCCCCAACATATTCAATTTATAACAAAGTTTCATTAGCTGGATGTAGATTTTTTTTCTACCTGGCAACCACTAAAATCATTTAGTTTCAAGGTTTATGTCCACATGGTAATGTTTAAGTAGGAGTTTGTCATTGATACCGTTTTTATGTAGCAGCTGGAAATTCAAACATTTATGTTTACAATAAATAAGTCATGAATAACAGTCTCAGTGCTGCAGTCACATATCCAGTTGATCATGGAGAGGGCCCTCAGGCACGGCCCGGCTTCATTCTTAACACTGCTGGTTCCTCCAGCTGGGCCTACAGCCTCAACAGCATCGCACACTCTACCCCACCTGTGACAATAAACAGCTTTATTACCTCCTCCCGTCCACTGACGCCATTTAATGCTTTCACTGGTCTCATACTGCGGACAGATCAACCAGCGATATGCAACTCTCCCATGCATTTACGTCACACGACCCCCTATAGGAGAACTCGTACTGACTGCTGTACTTATCAGCATACTTATTTGTATTTATGTTACCAAGTTTCTTTACTCCTTTATTGTAAACACAGTCCTGAGTGATGCTATTTATCGATCTAAACATGTGATATGTCAAACTGAAATAGTTTGAAAACTCCAACGTCATGATTGAGCTGCTGAATCTGCACAAGATTATGTGTTTACACAACTAAATCCTTTTCTCTGTTGTGCTAAAGTGAAAAATTTTTGAAAGCATGAGTCACGTATGTGCGTCACAAGTCATCTGCTTGTCTAGCACGGTGGTGTGGTGGTTAGCACAGTTGCCTCATAGCAGTAAGGACTTGACTTCAAATCCAGACTGAGGCCTTTCTGTGTGTTGTGTCTGAAAAAGAGCAAAGCTACACATGAAGCGAGGGCTTTTTAAAAAAAATACATCATTTTGATGTTCCACAAAAGATAAATATACCTGAAGATGTTTGTGTGGATTTGTAAAAATGTTTTAAAAACGATGTAGGCGTGTTGTATACTGTGGTTTGAGTATTCAAGAAAATAACCAGTTCATTTAACTGACTGTATCTTGAATTTACTGCAGTGGTTTGTCAATGATAATAACTGTTCTTTGATTATTTTTCTAAGAAGAAAAACATTAATTCACCCTGTTCTTTATATTTATCACCTGTGCCCAACTCTGAGACCCACAGACTTGTGTTATCTTTTACTTCACCTGATTCAGCTACATCCAAAACTCAGTATCATTTTCTCTCTCTCTTTTCTTCCACTTTTTGTTCATTTTCAAGCTCTCAACAGATCCGACTGATGAATAAATAAGTGAAGGGCTACGATTAAAATATGATGCACGCCACGCTGAGTTATAAAGTTTGGTAAAACAAACCAAAATCTTGAAATCATAAATGGCCTGTTTTATTTTTTAATAATAAATTGCATTTATCATTAGAGTGAATTTGTTGCATTTCTGTTTAAATTGAGTAAAAGAGTCATGCATATCAAATTCCATTAACATGATGCTTCCATGTGTTTATTTATTTAGAGCCTGCAACTG